ATGACATATTCCCAAATATATCAAAAGGTGGCTTGTCTTTAGTTAAAATATTAAATAATATATATTTTTATGTGTGTGTAATGACTGTAATTTACTCTTAACCTTTTTAACCTCTTAACACCCGCCTCATTTTGGCTCGTGCACAAAAGTTGGGCATATCCAAATGTCTTTGCTTATTTAAAAACACATCTTACATGTCACATGCTTGTATGATTAAAGCTAGAGCCTTCTAGTTTGTGTAAATATACACTACAATAATTTATGTCATTCCTATTTCCCTCTGCATCCTTTGAAGTTTGGGAAAAAAACCTATTTTTTAAGCCTCGTCTAAAATATTCAATATATAAATTCCCTAAAAAAGGCATACTTCATTGTAAGTTCACAATATTCAAATCCTATGGTCATTGTGTTGTTGACAACAACTGTCTAAAGTTTCAGACTTCTAAGTTTTTATGCAGTTTCTCTTGTCAAGTAGTGCCATTCGGAACCGATTTGGCACACTTTGTGCTTTACTGACATTTCATCATCATAAAAACCATATTTTTTAGTTTTGGTACTTATAAGTTACTAATCTGTGTGATTTGCTTTAAAAAATGTCTTATGTGAATTTTTTAGTAGTGTAAATGCATATAAAATATGCGCTGATCCGAGAGCGTCTCTCTCCCTGCTTTACGCACACTTCTACTGTGAGAATTCAAAGAAGTTCCCCCATGTCCCACCCATTGCTAGAAAGCTTTTCTTACTGGCTACTTATACATGTCAATCATTCAGCAAAAGAACACTTCCCTAGCCGTCTGGCTAACAAGAAATACAAACGGACCCTGCGCAAAAGCATGCTGCTTGTCTCATTCACAATAGCCTGGCCTGTAACGTCTGGGTCTGGTCCCCATGTTAGCGATTACAATCGGTTGAATTTTGACCGACCATTCGGCAAGCCCGAGAGGCGGGTGTTGTAGTTAGTTGTGGGTGATGTCAAACGGACAGGTTGTAGTTTGGCAATGACAAAAAATGCGATAGTAAAGTCATCCGGTCTGGTTCTATCAAGAAATTGAAGCCGGCACAACGAGTAATGTTTAGCAAATGTAATCGCTGGAAAAATTGTGGCGCTACTCCCCATACATCTGCTATTGCCAGCAGATGTAGTTTTTTGTGTTATGTTTGCACACTTCTGTCTTTTGCACAATTTGATTCTATATCAATTCTATGTACATTTCTCCAGTGTCAGATCAATAAAGTGTCAGTTAAAATATCCAGATATGTTTAACATGTGTATTGATATGGTATTGCAAAATTACTTCACATTGTCAATTGCAACATTTAATTAATGAAGTAATCTATTAAATCTCTATGGCATAGTGTTGCCCTCAGGCAACAAACCAGTATTTTGTCTCTAACAATGGCACTTACCTTTAATTTTGTATTTTATTTTTTTTAAATGTCAGCAGACATGTTTCTGTTCAATCAAATCAGGGGCTGAGGTGGGTTTGGCTATTTGTCTGGGGGCTGGGGAGTCCTTTCAGGAGGCAGAGTCACATGTGAGACGGTGCCTAATTTAGGTAAAATAGATGTCTTTGTTATACAGGTTTAAATTGGAAAACATTGATTGAATAAATATGTGAGTGTGCATAGATATGTCAAGAACCATATTTGATGGTTTACATATGATTTTTATCAGAAAGTATGTTCTAAAACAGTGAATTTAGCTTTGTTGCCTCAAAGCAACGTCATGCACATGTACTGTAGCACTTTTGTTGGAAGAATTTGATGCTAATGAATGTCCATGTGCTGAATTGAATTATAAGCAACATACTCAATGTTTTTGTCATTCTATCTAAAATTTCAGTTTTAACTATTGTTACTTGTAGGAAATGGGCGTGAAAACTTTTTATGGAGCAAAGAATGGAGTTAGGGACATTCCATCTGACAGCTTGATGAGGAGAGTGTCAGTGGAATAGAATGGACCCCAGATTCAGGTTTGAGACATGTTGGATGGTCAGGGGCATTCAGGGTTCAGTAATACTGTATGTCTGTCTGTTTTGTGATGGTGTGTTTGGGGGTGTACAAACCTGTGTGCAAGTAGTGACTAATTGTAGGAGATGGGCATGCTAGTGACTCTAATGATATAAATAAGATGTGGCTGAAGATGAACACCCCATAATCCAACTTCCCTGACTATCCGGAATGGCAAGGCAGTCTCCCAAGATTTCAAGATATGTTCTCCCCTTTTCACTACTTCACTACAAATTTAGACCACTTATCTTACTGCAAAATTTAAATCCATCCCAATGACTGAAACATTAGCTGTTTTCCTCCAAAGGAAAGCACAAGAACAAGCAGTACCTGCCATCCAAACCCAAGTAATGTGGGTACAAAATACTTGTCTTAGCCAGTTCTGAAGGTATACCACACAACTTTGAGGTAACCCCCTTACCTGGGAATGGTGCAAGTGAGAATGTTGTCCTTCGTATGGCTGAACCTATACCAAGGCAACAGAACCACAAGTTGATCTTTGACAACTGGTTCACTAGTGTTCCTCTCATCCTCACACTGGCTCAGGAGGGAAATACTGTTTTGTTACATAAAACTTTCAAATGTGATTCCTTTGAGATTCATTTTCATCATGGTATGCATAGTGAAAACCTTGGTGTTTTAGTACCTTTGTTGCGCACTGTTGCCCTGAAGCAACAAACCAATATCTGGTTGAGGGGGGTGTGGGGGGCAAATATTGTATCCATCCATCCATCCATTTTCTTCCGCTTTATCCGTTGCCGGGTCGCGGGGGCAGCAGTCTAAGCAGAGACGCCCAGACTTCCCTATCCACACACACTTCCTCCAGCTCATCCGGGGGGACCCCAAGGCGTTCCCAGGCCAGCTGAGAGACATAGTCCCTCCAGCGTGTCCTAGGTCTTCCTCGGGGCCTCCTCCCGGTGGGACGTGCCCGGAACACCTCCCCAGGGAGGCGTCCAGGAGGCATCCGGAACAGATGCCCGAGCCACCTCAACTGGTTCCTCTCGACGTGGAGAAGCAGCGGCTCTACTCCGAGCTCCTCCCGTGTGACTGAGCTTCCTCACCCTATCTCTAAGGGAGCGCCCAGCCACTCTGCGGAGGAAGCTCATTTCGACCGCTTGTATCCGCGATCTCGTTCTTTCGGTCATTACCCAAAGCTCATGACCATAGGTGAGGGAGGGAACGAAGAATGACCGGTAAATCGAGAGCTTTGCCTTTCGGCTCAGCTCCCTCTTCACCACAACGGTCCGATACAGCGACCGCATAACTGCGCACGCTGCACCGATCCGCCTGTCAGTCTCACGCTCCATTCTTCCCTCACTCGTGAACAAGACCCCGAGATACTTGAACTCCTCCACTTGAGGAAGGACCTCTCCACCCACCTGCAGAGGGCAAGGCACCTTTTTCCGGTCGAGCACCATGGCCTCGGATTTGGAGGTGCTGATTCTCATCCCAGCCGCTTCACACTCGGCTGCAAACCGCCCCAGTGCATGCTGCAGGTCCTGGTTCGTTGGAGCCAACAGGACAACATCGTCCGCAAACAGCAGAGATGAAATCCTGTGGTCTCCGAACCGGACCCCCTCCGACCCCTGGCTGCGCCTAGATATTCTGTCCATAAATACAGTGAACAGAACCGGTGACAAAGGGCAGCCCTGTCGGAGGCCAACATTCACCGGGAACAGGTCTGACTTACTGCCGGCAATGCGAACACAGCTCTGGCTCCGGTCATACAGGGATCGGATGGCCCTCAGCAGAGGACCTCCGATCCCGTACTCCCGGAGAACCCCCCAAAGGACACCCCGGGGAACACAGTCGAACGCCTTCTCCAAATCCACAAAGCACATGTGGACAGGTTGGGCAAACTCCCATGAACCCTCGAGTATCCGATGGAGAGTATAGAGCTGGTCCAGTGTTCCGCGACCGGGACGAAAACCACACTGCTCCTCCTGGATCCGAGATTCGACCATCGGCCGTAACCTCCTCTCCAGTACCTTGGAGTAGACCTTACCGGGGAGGCTGAGGAGTGTGATCCCACGATAATTGGAACACACCCTCCGGTCCCCCTTCTTGTAGAGAGGGACCACCACCCCGGTCTGCCACTCCATTGGCACTGCCCCCGATCGCCACGCGATGTTGCAGAGACGTGTCAGCCAAGACAGTCCTACAACATCCAGAGACTTTAGATAATCAGGGCGGATCTCATCCACACCCGGAGCCTTGCCACCATGGAGGCTACCAACCACCTTGGTGACCTCAGCCAGGGAGATGGATGTACCCGCCCCAACATCCTCAGCAAATATTGTAATTGATTGTAAATTGTAAATGTGGTTTGAAATATTTTTTTTTTCTCAAAAATAAAAAGTCATGCCATACAGGGTTAACTGTTATTACATCATTAACATACTTAATATAGATTTTAGTAATGTATAATTTATTATCATCATTACTATTATGACATTTTAAATCTAAATTATGCCTTTGACACAAAAACAATTAGTCATATGCTTTTAGTCTCAACGTTTCACATTGATATAAATCAACTAATTATTTGATTCGGATTGGATTGTCATAAAAACATTTTTGTAATCAATTTATTTGCTAAATTATAATTATTAATTCATTAATTTTATTTGATGATTGTTTCAGCCCTATACCTGTGAATCAGTATTTGATCTGTGGATCTGAAACAGCTGATCTAAAGATGTTTTTATAGTTATATATTTCTGCTTTGAAAGTTAGGTACCCCAGCTTTAACTAATCCCTAAATAGATGAGGCCATTACTTTAAGTCATTATTTTTTAAATGCCTTAAGAATTTCAGCATTGCTTAATACATGTTTTATTCATATTTTTTTCCTCAAGGTTCCCACAGCACGGACTACCTTACCCCTTTCATATCTTCAGTGGCTAATTGTCTTGTTCGTCAGCATTGGTTGGATTGAATGCAAAAAGAAGTTGTGCATCATTCAAAATGGCCGTGCAGATTGTAGCCATATGAGCCTCAATGAGATCCCACAGGATTTACCCTACAACATCTCTGCCCTGGACATATCCCACAACCGGCTGATAAAGATAGCCCATCAGTGGCTCAGTCCTTATCGCAAACTTGTGGACATAGATGCAAGCTTCAATAGTATCAGCAAACTGGATGAACAAATGTGCCAGGTGGTGCCGCTTCTGCAGATACTCAACATGGAGAAGAACCAAATGTTAGAACCCAATACGCAAGAGCTCAGCCACTGTATAAACCTGGTGTGGCTCAACATGGCTAGTAACAGGCTGAAGTTAAAAGGAGAGCCGTTTGCAGGAATTCAGGTAGGCCAGCGCGGTTCCAACAATTAAATATAGAAATAAAATAATAATAATTCAAAAAATAACTCACAAATTCTACATTGTGTCTGTTATAATTCAACATCTCTCTCCTCCCCCCCCCCCCCCCCCCCCACACACACACAAAAGATGTGCAAAAATAGAAAAAGTACTGTAATTAAGCATTGAATGTTGTAAAAAATAATTATTGTATAATAATTATTTGTACAACAATAATTATTGTTGATTATGGCTATTGTAATTTCCATGCCAATATATAATCTAATCTCAAAAACAAAACAACAACTTTGTTATTGTTATGTATCTATCTTTTCCTTATTCTTTCCCACAGAGCCTAAAATTTCTGGAAGTTTCAAAGAACAACTTGATGTCAGCAAAACTCAGTATGAAGCCAGAAATTCTGAATCTGATATATCTTGGCCTGAGCAACAATGACATTACCATACTGAAGACTGGTGACCTTAACTTCCTCAGAAAATCATCACTACGAGTGCTCAACCTGTCATCTGTTCGACTCAAAACAGTAGGTCTGAATGGGGAACTGAATCTCTCTCCAAGCTCAAAGAGAACTCAGAACTTTATATTTTCAAAATTTGTCACAGACTTAGCTATTTTTTCTTTCTTTTTATTTCAGGTGGAACCTGGTAGCTTCAAACACATTTCAAGTCTTCAAACATTAGTATTGGATGGTAGCAAAATTGGAACATCAGTTCTTACTCAAATCTGCATGGAACTTTCAGGATCTGATATAAAAGCCCTTTCGCTCAAAAACATTGAGCTAGTTTCTCTTACCAATAAAATATTCTCGGGACTGAAGAACACCAACATAAATAGTATTGATGTGTCTGACAATGAATTGGGTGAAATAGATGAAGGTTCCTTTTTGGGGTTAAACAGACTTGAGTCTTTAAGTATGGCAGACAACAAGATTAAGTTATTGAAGAAGGATACATTTGAAGGACTTCACAGTTTGAAGATGCTTAATATGACACGGACTCTTGCTAACTCAAAACGTGTCTCTCAACCAATAATTGAAAATTATGCTTTCCAACATCTGGGTTCTCTGGAAACTCTGATATTGCAATCGTCAGCCATAGGTGAAGTAGGACAACATACTTTCACCGGTCTAACAAGTCTAAAAGATTTGGATTTAAGTTGGACAAAACATTTCAGGGGAACCATCACTAATTGGACTTTTGTTTCACTTATGGCATCACCGCTTAAGAATTTAAATCTTAAAGGAACAGCCCTCAAACAAATACAAGTTGGCGCATTCTCATTTCTGAAAAATCTAACACAGTTACATCTAGAATGGAATTTCATTACGCAAACTATTACTGGTGATGAATTTAAAGGATTGGAACAACTGGAAGAGCTGTACTTGTTTCACAACACACAAATTACTTTGACTTCCAATTCGTTCTACCATATTCTAAATCTTAAGATACTCAAGCTAGCCAAAAGCCTAATTGGCACAACCCTAAACTTTGAATCTTCTCCATTTAAACCTCTGTCTGAACTAACTATCCTTGATCTAAGCAACAATAACATAGCAAACATTCAGGAATCATTGTTTGAAGGGCTTGTCAAATTAAAAGTTCTTTACCTCCAGCATAACAACTTAGCCCGTCTGTGGAAGAGTGCAAATGTTGGTGGGCCTGTAATGTTCCTCAAAGGCGTACCTAATCTTGTGACCCTTCAACTGGACAGCAATGGTTTTGATGAGATTCCTGAAAATGGCTTGAAAGGTTTGTTCAACCTTACCCATTTGAATCTCTCTGGCAATCTGCTAAATAATCTTAAAGAGTCTGTTTTTGATGATTTGCTATCACTGCAAATTTTGAATATGCAAAAAAACATGATAACTGCAGTGATGCCTCAGGTGTTCCAGACTCCAATGACTAACCTGAAGTTTCTTGTGATGGACAAGAACCCTTTTGATTGCACATGCGAAAGCATCTTGTGGTTTGTCACTTGGCTTAATAGCACTAATACCAGTGTACCAGGTCTTACACAAGAGTACACATGCAATACCCCTCTATCCTACTTCAATAAATCCATCATGGAGTTTGACAGCCTTTCTTGCAAAGACATGACTCCATTCCAAACCCTTTACATCTTGAGTAGCACCGCTGTCCTGCTGCTGATGGTTACTGCACTTGTACTGCGATTTCAGGGATGGAGGCTTAAATTTTATTGCAATATTCTAATAAGTCGAACACTGGGACTGGGCGATGCCAAAGCTGATGAGGGGAAACAATATGAGTTTGATGCTTATCTGATTCATGCAGAGGAGGATACCTCCTGGGTGGAAAGGAAGATGCTTCCACTAGAAAGACATCAATGCAGGTTCTGTTTGGAAGACCGAGACTCAATACCTGGAATGTCACAGCTTGAGTCAATTGTGGACAACATCAGACGGTCAAGAAAGCTTTTGTTTGTGGTTACAGACAATCTTCTAAATGATCCTTGGTGTAGACGGTAAGTACAACTTTACTATATTTCACTATATACCAGTGTTTTTCAACCATTGTGATTATTTTATATTAAAAAGGTATGCACACCTTTTTAATTTATATATACAGTGCCTTGCGAAAGTATTCGGCGTGCAATATTATTCGGCCCCCTTGCGCTAATACTTTGTAGTGCCACCTTTTGCTGCAATTACAGCTGAAAGTCGCTTGGGGTATGTCTCTATCAGTTTTGCACATCGAGAGACTGGAATTCTTGCCCATTCTTCCTTGCAATACAACTCGAGCTCAGTGAGGTTGGATGGAGAGCGTTTGTGAACAGCAGTCTTCAGTTCTTTCCACAGATTCTCGATTGGATTCAGTTCTTTGACTTGGCCATTCTAACACCTAGATACGTCTATTTGTGAACCATTCCATTGTAGATTTGGTTTTATGTTTTGGATCATTGTCCTGTTGGAAGATAAATCTCCGTCCCAGTCTCAGGTTGGCTCCATCCATCATCCCATCAATTTTAGCCATCTTCCCTGTCCCTGCTGAAGAAAAGCAGGCCCAAACCATGATGCTGCCACCACCATGTTTGACAGTGGGGATGGTGTGTTCAGGGTGATGAGCTGTGTTGCTTTTACGCCAAACATATCGTTTTGCATTGTGGCCAAAAAGTTCGATTTTGGTTTCATCTGACCAGAGCACCTTCTTCCACATATTTGGTGTGTCTCCCAGGTGGCTTGTGGCAAACTTTAAACAAGACATTTTATGGATATCTTTGAGAAATGGCTTTCTTCTTGCCACTCTTCCATAAAGGCCAGATTTGTGCAGTGCACGACTGATTGTTGTCCTATGGACAGACTCTCCCACCTCAGCTGTAGTTATCTGCAGTTCATCCAGAGTGATCATGAGCCTCTTGGCTGCATCTCTGATCAGTCTTCTCCTTGTTTGAGATGAAAGTTTGGAGGGACGGCCGGGTCTTGGTAGATTTGCAGTGGTCTGATACTCCTTCCATTTCAATATACAGTAATTGCTTGCACAGTGCTCCTTGAGATGTTTAAAGCTTGGGAAATCTTTTTGTATCCAAATCCGGCTTTAAACTTCTCCACAACAGTATCTCAGACCTGCCTGGTGTGTTCCTTTGTCTTCATGGTTCTCTCTGCGCTTTAAACAGAACCCTGAGACTATCAAAGAGCAGGTGCATTTATACGGAGACTTGATTACACACAGGTGCATTCTATTTATCATCATCAGTCATTTAGGACAACATTGGATCATTCAAAGATCCTCACTGAACTTCTGGAGTGAGTTTGCTGCACTGAAAGTAAAGGGGCCGAATAATATTGCACGCCCCACTTTTCCGTTTTTTATTTGGTAAAAAATTTAAATCATCCAATAAATTTCGTTCCACTTCACGATTGTGTCCCACTTGTTGTTGATTCATGACAAAAAATTAAAATTTTATATCTTTATGTTTGAAGCCTGAAATGTGGCGAAATGTTGAAAGGTTCAAATACTTTCGCAAGGCACTGTATATATATATATTCTGGCCCTTGAGGCGCACATTCTTACTCTGGCCTTTTGGCACCACCAGTGGCTAGTCTCTGGAGATCATAAGCATCACACAAGCGATGTTCTTCCCTGACCATGTGTCAAAGCCGGGGTCTATTTGTCAAACAAACAAAAACAATAAACTAATTGAATGCATTTTCTGTGTCTGTCTGGTCTCTCCAAATTGAATAAACATTTTTTTGAACTTCTGAGTCTTACCGCAAAAAGTATACTGTATAGCTGTCCATCGCTGTCCCATTTGATATCATTTGGTATGATACAGAAAACAATAGATCAATTTAGTATAGAAGATCAAGTTAGAACCTTGTTACCAGTTCTAAATGTTTTACTATAGATTTTTTTAATGAACAAAAGTAAAAACAACATATTCTATATCCCAGCAGGCAACACTGTTGAACCCAAAAAATGTGTAAAACAAGATAAAAACCGAGATTTCTAATGTTCATGATTATGCTGTTATTTTTTTAAATCCTTTAATGTGAGCTTTTTATTCCTGTGTAGGTTCATAGTGCACCATGCCTTGCACCAAGTGATAGAGAACAGCCGTGATTCTGTGGTTTTGGTCTTACGGGAGGACATTCATGACCACAAACTGTCCCGGGCCCTTTTTCTGCGGAGGGGAATGCTCAGGCCCTGCTGTATCGTGCACTGGCCCCCGCAGAGAGAACGGCTCGCTGCATTCCACCAGAACCTGCTCATTGCTCTTGGAAAAACCAACCACTGGCTGCAATGACTTTGTTATGAAGCTTAAACCTTGTATTGATTTGTTGAAGCTGTGCAAGTTTAACTGACTGATTAGATGGATAGGAAAAAGGCTGAATAACACATTCTTAGAAATTGTATAAAACATGTTTGTATTCCTTTATTTGACAACCTGTAAATAAGACTATATGGAAATAATTCTTGTTTTATTGTTTTTTTAATCTTTTTAATACAGTTGGAGGATATTCTAGGGTAAATTATCTCACCACCCCCTTCCCCTTCTCAATGGATCCAAAAAGATTAAGAAATTACATAACATCTACTGAATATCAAAACGTAATTTTAATATTCAATACTACATTTTATGACCACATTTCTACATCATAATCATTATTTTAATGGAAACATACACTTATGAGTGAGTCATGGGACTGCCTCAACAAAATAATTATTTCTCAAATGATTTCTTCTACTTTGGCCTTTAGGGATATTTCCCCTTGCACATGTGCAACATGTCAATAAGCAGCTTGAATGAACAATAATACATGTTACTTAACTTTTCAACGCTATTCAACACGCTAGTCAACACTAGTTTAACATCTTGACCTTTTATAAAGGTCAACTCAATAAAAATAGCACTTTGCAACAAACATATGTTATGTGGCATTAGTTTACATTACAATATGTCCAGTATGTACAATTTTGTTTATAATCAATTTTCTAATGTTGCCTCAACCTTTGCATTGCTTGTCCACAAAGGGAACTTAGTTGACTTACGCTGGTTTATGGCACATTGTATTGTGTGAATATCCGCAAACAAGTCTATGAGGGCAGGAGAGTGCAGCTTCTGGCATTGTACCAAAACGCTACCTTTATGCACTTATCTAGGGAAGCTTATGCTAACGTGACAGTGTGACAACATGAGCAAAGTACACAGGTGAGTGGAGTTCATGTTGTATCTAGTATTGCAGGGTGCAACTACATTACATCCAAACATAACAATTTACTTTGTTGTGACATACATATAAAACCTAATAAAACAAATCTTTGGGTAATGCTGCAAGAAATTATCCAGGACATCAAAGCCGAGATCTTGTTTGTTGATTTATGTTCTACCTATAAGTGGTCTAAAAGAGTGAATGAACTTTATGGTGATTTACTGTGGTGACTGTATACAGCATATCTTTTATCATATCTTACAGGTCAAAATTGAGAAACCTAACCTTTTGTTTGTCTCTATATTTTTAGCAAATTGCTTTATTTTTGCTGGAGAAGTTTCTTCTGAACCTCCATTACGAACAGTTCAGCCGAGTTCATATTCGCTTGCAGGTCAAAGCATTGACCCATAGCCAATCAGAAAAGGGCCCGTACTTTCAATATGTAACTAAACTTTATAGCACTTTTACGCACTTGCCTTTGCCTTATTCATTCATATCTGATATGCAAAAAAAGAATATAAATGTATGTATATCTATGTGGTGAGAAAGAGTTCCCTCCCACTTATGTCTCTGCACATAAAAAGCCCAGACCTAGAGAAAGATAGAAAATGGCAGTTCTCATAGGCGACTACTCCCTTCCAATGATCTTGGTAAGTGTTTTTATCCTGGCTCTGACCTACATCACATACAAAGTTCTTGGTGACTATGTGAACAAGTATATCATTATGAAGCCAATTCCGGAGATGGGGACAACATTCCCAATCATTGGAAATGCACACCAGCTAAAAGCTGATTCAGGAGGTGAGACACTTTATTTCTTTTGTTGCAATTTAGTAGTTGAGAATAATCATGCATTATTTTCTAATAATATTTGTCTGTGCTTTGCTTGCTGTATTTTTGGCAGCACTTTAGAAAGTCTATTTGTGCTATATGTGTGTCTTGATATTCAATTTCAAAATAATGATTTTATTCAGTTGTTTTAGTAATCAGTTCAAATGTTTATTTTCCAGCATTTTTTAACCAGGTGGTGACCCTCAGTACCAAATACAACCATTTTCCTATGTATAAGATCTGGATTGGAACTGTCCCATTTGTCGTCTTGTACCATCATGACACAATTGAGGTAAAGCACTCATCTTTGTTAATCTATAATATATATATATATATATATATATATATATATATATACATATACACACATATATATATATATATATATATATATATATATACATATACACACATATATATATATATATATATATATATACATATACACACATATATATATATATATATATATATATATATATATATATATACATATACACACATATATATATATATATATATATATATATATATATACATGTATATATATATATATATATATATATAGCGGATCCCTGGAACAACCTCGGACATCTCGGTCCAACAAATGTGCAGTGCAAGGAACAGCAAAGATACTGCGCAGAACCCTAAAGCTCCCAGGCCTCTGGTAGAGGACCCGAGCTTAGAGAGGGATAACCGCCCGCGGAGGGCGAAAAGTGAGATTTTTAAAATTATTTATATATATATATATATATATATATATATATACACACACGACGACGACAGCAGTTTGGAAAAGGAAGAAATTCAAAGATGCGAGTGTTTAAAAGTGCGCGGGTTGCTTTTAGGGAAGTTCTTCGTTCAGCATTCAGAGGACAGAGGGGAGGGGAAGGGAGAGAGGAGAGAGGGGAGGTGAAAGAGGGGAAGAGAAAAGAGTGGAGGGGAGGGAGGAGAGAGAGGACAAAGAGAGGGAGAGAGGAGAAGAGAGGGGAGGGGAGAGGGAAGAGAGAGGAGGTGCTTTCTTACAAAGATCATCTCTTTTTCGAGGGGGTGCTTTCATACAAAGATGGCTGGCATGCTCAACAACATAATACAATTCACCAAAATAAATTACATTGGATACAGCTCCTTGAGGTGTGCTAAAAACAAAACAAAAACTATATCAACATTTCTAAATTAAATACAAAATTGATTTTGTGTTAAGTGATATGAAAAAAAAGTTTAGCTAAAGGAGCAGAAAAGGATTCAGGTTAGCTTTTAGCAGTAGCATCCAGCACCGACTCACCACTTCACCTTTGCCAGCCCTCCACCAAACCCAACTTCCAGTACACTTGAACGCCGTTTCCGTAATAACGCGGTGACGGAACCTCTCAGTTTGAAATGTGAAAACACTAGACTGCATTAGGGCTCAAGTCTGTGAGCGATGATGCCTGCCATACTTGACAAGTGCTAGCTTCCCCAAACAAACTAGTGATTAAGAAAGATAATGTGGGGGAAATTCCCCACGTTATCTTAACAAATTGTGTCTGTATAAATCATTGACTGCATCTTGAAGAGGTATTTGGTGTAATCCCTTTCCCAATACTGCACTCACTTGTTTTTATTGCACAGATGATTCTGAACAACGCCACCCACATGGACAAAGCACAAGCATACACCTTCCTGCACCCCTGGCTTGGCACTGGTTTGCTTACAAGGTGCAAGTTCATTCCTAAAGGGTTTTTTAATCATTTGTCCATGTTACTTCATTACATATGATTTAATATATGTATATTGATTATTACATGATCATTATCTATCATAAAGCGTCAGATGTGAACAAAGGCTTAGGTAAATAGTCAACCTACTTGAAAGTACATAATGTACACATACTAGTAGTTGATACAAACTTACTGATGAACATTATGTTTTGTAAGAAATACATGTCCGTCAACAGCCTATTGGCTAGCGTATTAGCGGGTTCATCTTGTTGTCTTAGTGGAATCAGTTATTCGGTGCGTCTAAATTATATTACCTTGACTTTTGGGAAGGCAAACATCCATCTTCCTCAATACTTTTTAGAGATAAAATTCAAATACCTGATGTTTACTTTTTAATGATTACAACAGCACTGGAAAAAAGTGGCGACAAAGAAGGAAGATGCTGACACCCACCTTTCACTTCTCAATTCTGACTGACTTCCTGGAGGTGATGAATGAGCAGGCTGAGATCCTGGTGGAGAAGCTGCAGAATAAAGCTGGCAAAGGAGTGTTTGACTGCTTCTCCCATGTCACACTGTGTGCTCTGGACATCATCTGTGGTCAGTGATGGGCATCAAAACACAGCACGATGTTGGCGATATATAGTGCAACATATGATTATAGCTTACAGTGTAGTGTACAGTATATCACTATGTACTATAATAAGTGAATAATACTATTACCTTTGTTGGCATTTTTCTTTTTGTTACTTGAATGCCTTCCAATTTAAATTCATGATGCTTTTTAGCACGGAAGAAGTAGTATGTTGCATGTCTTCATGTTCATTCAACTGAATTTCTCCATTGTGAGATCAATAAAGTATCTGTATTTTACTTACTTAACTACTACCACTAAATGTGGCTATGTTCTCACTGACAATCCCCCCATTTGGCCATGTTTTGGATGATCACAATAATTATTTCAAATGTTTTTCAATATTTCTCGGTAGAGACTGCCATGGGGAAAAAAATCTATGCTCAGAGCAACTCAGATTCAGAGTATGTCAAGTGTGTTTACAAGTAAGAGTACTACATTTTGCACTATTATTATATAGCTTATTGTTTTTCCATTTAAAAGATCAAATTTATGTTCACCGGTTGTTCTCTCAGAATGAGTGACATTGTTAGCCGAAGACAGAGGGCTCCCTGGTTCTGGCCAAACTTCCTGTACTATACAATTGGAGATGGCATCGAGCACGATAAGACACTAAAGGTTCTTCATTCATTCACATACAAAGTAAGTGAACACACTTCCACATTTCATCACAGTAGATCTATACCTCAATATTATAAAATGTGAAAACAAAATTCTGCCACAACGCATATTGAAATTAGGTGATACACGACAGAGCGGAGAACATTTCTAACATTGAGTCAGACAGTGACACGGATGGGAAGAAGAGACGAGCATTCCTGGACATGCTGCTGAAGGCCACAGATGAGGAGGGCAACAGCATGAGCCACCAGGACATTCAAGAAGAGGTGGACACATTTATGTTTGAGGTGGGTTTCTATGGTGAATAAAAATCAAGGGCAACAGTGGCTCAGTTGGTACAGCATTGGCCTTTGAGCCTGAAGGTTGTGGGTTCGAGCCGACCATGAGACCTTCTCCACCGACTCCCACTGATGTCTGCTGTCGTTGTGTCCTTGGGCAAGACACTTAACCCCGCTTTGCCTGAAGCCCCCGCTGAAAGATCAAGGCTGTGTCATGACTGGCAGAAGCCATTCTCCTGTGGACTCACCACCTGCAGGAGGATCAGTGAGGGGCTGGCGTTCTGTGTACAGGGTGCAGCTCTGACTGCCACCCTGATGGATGTTTTTAGTAAGATGTATTATTCGGAATAATATCATATTGTTAATTATTTCTTCATCCTCTTAACATGTGGACATACATTTTTAGGCATGATATGATCTAATAAAATCAGATTCACAATGTTGATAGGTTGCTTTTGCTCTATCTTACAAACACTTTAATTTTATGTCTTTCTATTCTGTGTCTAGGGCCATGACACCACAGCTGCTGCCATGAATTGGGCCCTACACCTACTGGGCTCCCACCCGGAGGTACAGCAAAAAGTGCACCAAGAGCTAGACCAGGTGTTTGGTAAGAGCCATATGCCTATACGCTTTTAAATTGTTTTTTATAACAACATTAATATTGAAAGGTAATTCAATATAGTTGGTTGTTTGGCTTGTTATTTCATGAATCATACTTATAATTTGCTTTAACTTATGTTGAAGAGGATAAAAGGGATTGCAAACATTCAATACTCATTTAAGTTTTATTTGATTTTCTAATGATGATTTTGTTGTGATGTGTACAGGGACATCAGAGAGGCCCATAAACACAGAGGACTTAAAGAAGCTCAAATACCTGGAGTGTGTGATTAAAGAGGGACTTCGGCTGTACCCCTCCGTCCCATTCTTTGCCCGTACTATTTGCCAGGACACTACCATCAGTAAGTAATGAAAGTTATATTTATTTTAGAATTTGAGTTCTGTGTTTCTCTTTTTCATATTACAGCAAGAAATAATAATAAAATAAAATGCATTAAAGTGATTGTCTGGAGTTTGTCAGAAAAAAGAGAGAGGTAAATGATTTTGAAAAAAAAACGACCTAAACCCCCCCCCCCCCCCCTTTTTGATTGGTCTTGAAGCCGCCCCTTCTTTTCCATGCACGCGCCAGGTTCAAGACATGCGGAGGAGAGATTGTTAATTTAAATAGGTGAATATTTATTTATAATTTGTTATACAGTTCCTCACAGCAGCAGAAGAATGCTCCAATGATTTGAATGTAATTTCAAAACGTTCTACCGATCATTATTTCTTAATAACGGACCTCTCAAACCAATAATAACCGCTGCCCTTTGGCATTTTACACACCTCAAGTACAAGCACAGAGTGTGCTTGTACTTCAGGTGTGTAAAATACTAAGATTACTCTGGACAGTGGTTCGCACACTTCGTCACAACGGGCATTATACATACACATACTTAATACACGTGCACAGAGGTTTTCAGAATTATCTGTTCACGTTTTCATGACAAAAGTACTGTTTTAATGAGTCAAAAAGCGATCGTGGTAAACCCGGAAGTAACGATTAACATTAGTGTAACATTTTAGGACAACATTTGCAAAGGATCTGATTATGGTTGAATTTATATTTGGGTCACTTACCGCTGATGTCCAGAATTCTTTGTTCAGTTTTCATGTAGTTCCAGAGAGTTCTAGTTAGTTAGCTAGCCAAGCTGTTACCCGTCTAGTCTATGGTCTAGCCACATCAGGGTGAAACCTTTGGGAACTAACTATTTTATATATATCATTTAAGATAATGCCCTCTACAGCTTTGAATATTAAGGGGTGCCTAATATTTGTTTGAATAAATAAATATATTAGGGCAGTCAAAATTATTGCGTTAACGCACGTTAATAATTTTTTTCATGAATCGCGTTAAAAGAATTTACACATTAACGCATGCGGCAAATGACCCGCCCATGTTTCTTATAAAAACACTCAGAAGTGACGCGGACACATCATGGATCTATTATGATAACACATGCGTGTGAGATGGCGACAGAGCAGGTAGGCATTAGTTAGCATTAGCACAACTTCTTATAAGCTGTACAGCAATCACTGATGAAATGGTACCAAAGCATCGCACTGCTAACAAAATGTACAGTACAATAACTGAAAGATTACCGCTAGTTTTGCGTCCAAAGTTACTTCGAGGTGGTCTGCACCCACGGGTCTCTCCAGAGGATACGATGTATGCTAGCTATGTTCATCATTAATTACGATTATAAAATTTTTAAGCTGTTATTAAAATTTGTAATTCACTTAGAGTTCCAGACTATCACTTTAACTAAATTCGGAGCCAAGTTCTTGCTTTTCACTTCAAGTCCATAATACAGTATTAGTCAAATTTATCCAAATCAAGCAACAACCAAATCAGAACTTTGTCCACCAAGATCGAGTCAGGATCAAGTCCACACATGTGATCTAAGATCAACCAAACCTGTATTTAATCTGTAAATTGTTATATTTATGTTGATAGATGAATACACATTATACATGAATTGCAGCGGTCTGTAAATGTATATAAAGTTCATCATTTAAAAATTTTTCTTCCTTGTTTGCTTCTTTTGCCAGAGGGCTATAAAGTTCCCAAAGGTTCCAATGTCATACTGTTTACATATGTGCTGCATCGAGACCCACGTTACTTCCCAGATCCTGAAGAGTTCAGACCAGAGCGCTTCTTTCCAGAGAACTCAGTTGGACGACCTGCCTATGCCTACATACCCTTCTCGGCTGGACTACGTAACTGCATTGGTAAGACTACTACGACTTTAGTATGTGTATATGTTTAGAAAACCCTAAAGATAACCATCAACATATTTTTCTTGTAGGCCAGCGTTTTGCCATGATGGAGGAAAAAGTGGTCTTGGCGTCCATATTACGGAACTTCACTGTGGAGGCATGTCAGAAGCGTCATGAACTGCATCCAGTCGGAGAACTCATCCTGCGTCCAGAGAAGGGCATCTGGATAAAACTCGAGAAACGGACCTCACAGTCATGTGTACAATAATTGCGTTATACCATTTAGGGATCGACATTCATATTTATATAAATACACTTTGTCACAAAAAAAGTCTCCTGTTGTTTTTACTCAATTTCACTTAAAGGCACACCGCGGACTTTGTGACCTAAAGAGTTGACACATATGAGTTATTTTATATGAATACTTGGGCCAATATACAGCGCTTGACACTTGCAATGCTCCGAGCGGGGCTGCCCTCTTGAAATACCGCCCATGTAAGTTTCGAGCAGACGGACCGTCTGCCACCAGGTCACGTGACTTGGAAGAAAGACTTGCTTTACGGCTACAGGCGCTGATATACTCATGGAGCTAAGGCTTTTGCTACTCATTTTTCACCTGCTCGACTCCTGGTCATGGCTGAGGCAAGGAAAAATTTTAAACCTTCGGAGGAGGCTAAAAAGAGGAAACGCGAAAGGGATCGTGCTGTAAGCTGCATGTCTGTATGAGCGCTGCTGTTCACCTGGTTCCTGGATGTCATCGACCGCAAAGATGTCATTCCACGCAGCACGAACTAGACGCAGAACTCCCTCATCCAGGATATAGAAGTCCATGTGTGGTAGATTACTAATGCAGCGGTCTGGAGGCTGACCACAGCAGAGTCTCTCAATATCTGTAGGCATGTCTCTACAGTTTGAACACACACACCAGTGCATGCTGTCTGAATACACACTCAAAAGACACCGGCTGACTGTTTGACTTTTGCGACAGTGCTGAGTTGCTTGTGGCCACTAGGGGCGCTAAACGTGAAAGTTGCAGGTCTAGCGCCCCTAGTGGCCAAGAGTTACACGGTGTGCCTTTAATGGCAACAACAAATGCTTGTTTTAATCATAAGCCATGGTATAATGTATGCAGATGTACAGTATGCAATTCCACACATTCTTAAATTTACAGTCTGTCGTTTATCCTGTGAATTAATAAGATTAATAACAATTTAACAAAAAACATCCTAAATCAGCAGCAAGCAGGAATTTATTCAATTAGGAAATGACCGCTCCTTTATTCTCAAATGCATTTCAGAGAAGAAAATATCTCTCTTCTGATACCTGATGACATTTCTACACCATACCCAATGACTAGAGTTGAGAACAAGTGTTGCTGCTAAAACTGCCACATTTACAAAAATAATCTCAAATGTGCGTGTTTTGGAAAGTATTTCACTCAAAGACAAAATGGGCTTGAATTCTCTAAACATGTTGGTGACCAGGCTTGTTAATAGTTGATTTTGTATGTCAGTCCAGACAGTGTCATTAAAATCAGATAAGTGGGACCATTCAAGGTCAATTTAATGTTGACTTTGTCCAGGATGAACTGAGAGCCCTATGACCAATCTTTAATCATTCATTTACAACTTAAGCTATAATATCTAATAGCACTGCCCAATAAAAATGCTACATATTCCTGCAGTAAGCCAGGAAGTAGGTTGTCCCTCATAGACCCCCCCCCCCCACCTACTTTATGCACATTAAAAGTCCGGCCAGGCACCCAAGGCACAGCATTTGTTTTAGTGCAAACAGCCTGTGCGCACACAGAGCAAGATCGTAATGGCAGTTCTTTTAGGCAGTTTCTCACTTCCAATGATCTTGTTGAGTGTTTTTATCCTGGCTCTAACATACATAACATACAAAATCCTAAGTGATTATGCACTAAAGTACATTACTATGAGGTCTATTCCGGAAATAGGAACAACATTTCCCATCATTGGAAATGCACACCAATTGAAAACCAAATCGGGAGGTAAGTAAATTTTTTATAGATCTAATAGTACATGAAAGTGTATGAGAATAAGGTTATCATTTGTTGTTTTCAGAGTTTTTCAACCAAATTGTGGAGCTCACGACAGAGTACTACACATTGCCACTATTCAAAATTTGGATTGGTACAATCCCGTTTGTCATCTTGTTCCATCATGAAACTGTTGAGGTAGTGCAAATACAAATATGTCTTGCTTCGAAGATGTTAGAAAGGTTAGAGTAATAGATTATTTTTTATACATCAAGCAGATCTACTGTAGGACTGAGCTACTAAAGTAGATTATTGTTGTTATTTTCGAAGTGGGATCTGTTTCTCTAATCTCCATTTAAATAATTTAAATTAACTGATGTATCTTATAGTTTTGCTGGGAATAATTAATTTGGTTTCAGTGACATTCAGAGTGGTTTCTCTAGCAGCCAGCATAAACTAAGCTGAACTCTATTCATCTTGGTTTACTCTTTCTCGTTCCATACTCTGTTGAACTCCAAACTGAGGCAACAGCGCTATTTCTTAGTTTATGCGCTACACTGCCATCCAGTTTATTTACTCTTACATAATACTGTCTGTGTGAACACTTTGTTATCTAACCACAGTTTTACTCATGACTGCCTTTGCTTCTACACAGAGCATTTTGAACAACCCCATTCACATGGAAAAAGCATATGCATACACATTCTTGCATCCCTGGCTAGGCACTGGTCTACTCACAAGGTAAAAGATGATGGAGTTGACATTCAATTCAATACAATGTAAGGGACAATAAGCATTTGGAAGAATTTAAAACAATATTTACCATGCACCTTATAATCTGGTCTATCTTATATATGAAAATAAAGGCATAATTTGATAATGCGCCTTATAGTGAGAAAAATGTATTGATACTTTAACAATTTACCTTTTCTTACAATTCAAGTTTTTGTAATAATTTAAAACTTTTACTTGTAATGTCAAAGTGCTGTCACTGAGAACATTCTCCAGAGTAAAATTACCTAATGACGAGCCCTTTTAAAGAATACTATAGCATTATCATTTGCAATATCTTGTATTGCCAACAGATGGCACTATATGGAAGCCGTTGGTCTGTTCTTCAGTCAATAGACTGATATCCCTCCTCAATTTTTTTATTCCCTATTTTTTATACTGAAGAAAAAAATGTGAGACATTAAATTGTAATGTTCCTCCATATGCCCACAGCACAGGTAAAAAGTGGCGACAGAGGAGGAAGATGCTGACCCCAACCTTTCACTTCTCAATTCTAACTGACTTCATGGAGGTGATGAATGAGCAGTCTGAGATTCTGGTGGAGAAGCTGCAGAATAAAGCTGGCAAAGAAGTGTTTGACTGCTACCCATATGTCACCCTGTGTGCTCTGGACATAATCTGTGGTGAGTAATAGAACATCACTTTTGGGCAGTCAAAAACCCTTGATAAATATATTCCTTACTCCAGGGGTGTCCAAACCTTTTAGTAAAAGGGCCACTTTAGTTCATCAGACATGACATGGGGCAGACATCCTGGATTTAAAAACAGGATTCAAGCTGGATTGACCGGATTCTGCAATTGAAAATGGGTTATGATACGTCCTTATTGATTCACACCACAGCTGCATAGAATGTTGTGACACAATTATAAATCAAATGTCAGTATAAAACAATATAGGTGACAAATGTATTCCAGAGGGTCTGAGATTTACAACGAGGTATAGCGTGTATTGGTGGAGCTGAAGTTGATTGGATGACACTGTCAAAGTGCCTCAATGACGACTTTGTGTTAGCAGCAGAGGTCCACATAAAATAAGACAGAGGGCCGCAATTGGCCCGCGGACCTGAGTTTGGACTGCCTTACTACAAATTGAAGGAATAGTAAAAACATCCCCCCACACACACAATTGATGCTCACTCAACCAGCACAATTTTTTTTAAATGATCTTTTCTATGTCTTTGTAGAGACCGCCATGGGAAAGAAAATCTATGCTCAAAGCAACTATGAATCTGAATATGTCAAATGTGTATATAAGTATGTGTGCATTTTTCCATTTCAATTACAAAGTTAAGGTTACGAGTTTACAATTCATAGCAATCTGTTTGCTTAGAATGAGTGACATAGTCAGTCGGAGACAGAGGTTGCCATGGTATTGGCCGGATCTTTTGTACTATTCTATAGGAGACGGAAAAGAGCATGACAAGATGCTGAAGGTTCTCCATTCATTTACACAGAAAGTGAGTTGCCAGATTTTTGTGAAATAATAATAATATTAGTTTGCCAAGATTGTCTTATTGTTTTGGCGGTATAGTTTAAGGCATAATGTATCTTTGATGATTTTGTGGAAACACACATCACAAAATAATAAGCCACTGTACAGAGTTCATTAACTAAAACAATTACTGGTTACAAGGTAATTAAAGAAAGAGCCGAGAACATATCCAACTCTGAATCCGACAGTGAGACAGACCTGAAAAAGAGACGAGCATTCCTGGACATGCTCCTGAAAACCACAGATGAAGAAGGCAACAGCATGAGCCACCAGGATATTCAAGAAGAGGTGGACACCTTCATGTTTGAGGTGGGTGTGATGACAATCTAAATTGTATCATTTAAATGATCATTTACAGTGGTTGAATCAGTTGGCAAATATGAATATAACATTTTTTGTAGCATTTTGGTCAACTTGTAATCTAAAGAATTAAGTTTAACGTAATCTCTAGTGTGAAGCATACATACAATTTAACATAATTTGCCCCAAATATATAAAAAAAACTCTCCTCAGGGTCATGACACCACAGCTGCTTCCATGAATTGGATTTTACACCTGGTGGGCTCTCACCCTGAGGTACAACGCAAAGTCCACCAAGAGTTGGACGAGGTCTTTGGTAAGAGCGTGTCTGCTTCCTTACACAACATTGCTATAATACTGGTAATCCTATGTTTGTTATAACGCTTAACAACTCCCATGAATGTTCCAATATTTTTGTATCATTTTAATTAGAGTGACTGATTATGTATTTTCCATAATCTAAATTACAATTAAATAGAAATTGAGAGTTTACAAATACATTGATTTGAAATGTCAAAATAAATAAAAGGCTTACTGCTAATATGCACTTTAGCAACTTTAAATCCACAAGTTGTTCATAATTAACAAACACTGTTGCTATTATACAGTTTCGAGTACAGCATAAGTAGTCTTAATATTTTTGTTTGTCATCCTAGAATTGTAGTTTTACAACAGAGCTGTGACTGCATGTTTATGTGACCTGTTCAGGGACATCAGATAGACCTGTTAACACAGAGGACCTGAAGAAAATGCGTTATCTGGAGTGTGTAATTAAAGAAGGACTACGTCTCTACCCCTCAGTCCCATTTTTTGGACGCACAATCTGCCAGGACACCACAATCAGTGAGTATATTGTCATAATGTGGAACTATATTGTACAATGTTCACGATTAACTCTTTTAATAAATAAAGTTCATTATGTTACCTTATAGTAATAATCACATTAAATTTTAGGAGGTTTCAAAGTACTCAAAGGCTCCAACATCATCATTGTGACATATGCTTTACATCGGGACCCACGATATTTCCCTGAGCCTGAGGAGTTCAAACCTGAGCGATTCCTTCCTCAGAACTCTATTGGACGACCGGCCTATGCTTATGTACCATTCTCAGCTGGACTGCGCAACTGCATTGGTAAAAGCACATTTTAAGTTGAATAATAAATATCACGCAGAAATATACAGAATCTAGTTTATGTGTTAATATTTTTAGAAGTAACTTCAGCGAAATGTTGTGTTGTACAATTTAGGTTCAACATATTGTTGAAAGATCTGAAGATCAAATTATAATAGCAATGCTAAAGCGAGCCAGTGAGGCAGAGGTAGTGCCAAAGGGAAGTGCCTAGAAGTACTGAACTACATTAACAGAGTACCAATCCAAACAAGGAAGCCAAGGATTCAGATTCAGATTCCGTTTATTTGCCATTTGCAGTAAAAAAACCACATTGGAATACATTAGCAAAAGTCTCCAGTGTGCACAGACAAATAGAGACATAAAACAACATTAAAATTACGGAAATAAAACAAATAAAACAGTAAACAAGTGTCACTGTGAAATCGATCGACTAAAACAGTTTCAAAACAAGTGCAAATCATTGAAGTGCTCTGTTCAGACTGATAACAGCCTGTGGAAATAAGCTGTTAGCATAACGAGATGTGCTGCATCTCAGAGAACGATATCTTCTGCCAGAGGGAAGAAGCTGGAACATGGCTTTTCCAGGGTGGCCAGAAGAGTCATTGATAATTCTTAGAGCTCTATTAAGAATTCTGGATTTATAAAGAAGAAGAAGAAAGGCAAAAGCTTGTATCCACCAAGGGTGAATATAGAAGCCAAAAACTGTAGGATACTTACATACAGAGATTATAATGGTCATTTATATGAATAATGCTACATGCAGTAAAGTTGAGTCTTGGTTTCAAAAGCCTACACATATTCTGGTAATATTTGTTGGCAACAATAATAGCACATAATAATAATAGCACAAAAAAACTGTTTATTGTGCTATTAACATATGGCATGAAAATTGCCCCCCTAAGGCTTGCTTGAGATTAATCACTTTATTTTGTATCCAGGCCAGCGTTTTGCACTAATGGAGGAGAAGGTTGTGTTATCGTCTGTCTTTCGGAGGTTCACTGTGGAGGCCTGTCAGAAACACGAGGAACTCCATCCAGTCGGAGAACTTATTTTACGTCCAGAGAAGGGCATCTGGATAAAATTGGAGATGAGGACAAAATAACTGTACATAAATGTTTAGTAGTTATAGAGTTATGCCCACAGAGAGACAAACAGACAAGCGCCATTGATCACTGTGCTACCCGGATGGAGGTAACAGAAATGAAACAAATTGGTCAAACATTTAGTATAGGTGAAAATTACCTTTTTACCTCCAACGTATAACAACAGTGAAAAGTGGAATGTTTGCAGCCTTTACTCTGCACTGATAAAAGCCAGAACATCCCTGTAGTAAAGGGTGGGGGCAGCCCAAGATACAAAAACCACACAACATTTTGAAAGATCTCAAAGAAGGACCCCGGAAGAGCAGCATCTTCATACTCTCTCGGTCCTCCAGAGAGACAGTGCAAAGTCTCTCAATAGCTTTCAACGACCTGAGAACTGGATGACCAGCGGACCAGAGCCAGCACACTGCACCAGACTGGTTGTATGAACTGTCCATGTCACAGCTGTTGGCTTCACATTCTCACCATTTAATCGACACAGTCTGGAAAGCTCTTGCTTCCCAAAGAGCAAGACCTCACTTAGAAGGACAATCAATCTTTAATTGATTATTATTAGATTATTGTTTATTTGAGCGCCCTTCCTACAAAGGGCAACATAAAACCATACACAGTCCACATCACACAAGGCACAAATCAACGCATAAAACATAATACAATTCAATTACAATATAATTTATTCTTGCATAGCCCTAAATCACAACAGACGTAATCTCAGAGGACTTAACAAAACACATTTTAAAAAAAATTCCAGACATGTTAGATAGAATGTTAACGTGTCCTGGATCATCACCACATCCTTCGGTTGCTGTGGCCGCATTGTACTGACAGCCGCTTTGACAACAGCTCAGCGAACGCAAAACGTGATACCAAGCGCGGACCTTATATGTGCAGACAGAACCATGGACTCGTGGACATCTGAGAGTGGATTTTTTTTATGTTTTTCTCTTGTTAACTCATTGTATTGAGAAATGTTAAACAAAGCATAATGTCAGTATATATTTTTACATTTTCTCCTGGTAGTGGTTGTGCCGCCAGATTTTTTCAATGAAAAAAGTGTACCGTGGCTCAAAAAAGGTTGAAAAACACTGCTCTAGCCTAGATACAGTACTCCAACTATTATTTTAACCATTTATCATTTAGTTAGCATAATCATAACCATGTATCTTTAATCAGCTTTATTATTGAAACTATGCATTCATATCTGATGTGTATTATATTGCATTAAATCTACAAAACCTCCTTTGTCTGAAAGTGATTTTTGTTCCGATTTTAACCCCTTTTCAGCATTGATTTTAGGCTTGTAATCACCACTTGATTTGGTGGACATTTTCTTTTTTCTTCTTCTAAAAATTACACTACAAAAAATAATTTAGACTTTATTAGTTAAGTGGTTACAGAAGTATGTCATGAGGTGGCTAATCCTGCAGAGGGCACCAGTACACAACTTGTTTGGCTCTGTCCAAGACTTTCCCAGTTTTAACACCACTGATATTTTTACCTCTTAGCTAAACCTACCTCTTAGTTAAAGGCTCCAGAATCTTTGTGAAAGTTCTAAACAAACACACAATGCAGGAGGTTTGTGTCGACCTAAAGCAAGATGGGTAGTAGCCTCTATAAGGCTGAGGTAGATTCTGGCTCTCATATTATTGTGTGAATGTGAAAACAAAGGGCCGATCAGGGAAAGTTTCAACTATGTAAATTGAATCAATATAAAATGTAGTTCTCCATAGGGAGAAGTTTTACATAAAATATATTGACACATAACACATTTTATATGACTTTTGTATAATTTCTTTATGATAATCTCCTGAAAGTGGCACCTTTTGCACATCTCTGATATGTCACAAAAAAGGAGAATTGTATACAGTCTTTGCTAAATTGGCAGTTTAACAATATACAATCTGTAGGTATTACTTATGTGGATGTGTGTTTTTTATTCATCAAACCTTAGAGTAATACGTGTGTAATACAGGGGTAGTAGCAATTCTTTCGTATATCAGGACGGTTTCTACCTTTTCTATAGGTAGAAAAAAACTACCTAACCCTAAAATAATTCTAACAAAAGATGTTTTTTGTAGTATTAGGTGTCCTTAATAACACACTAAAAGTTTACCAAAGTTTGACCTCTAGAAAGGTGAAATTTTCAAGATGGCGTCCAAGATGGGCAGGAAGCCCTTAACATATCCTAACTCGTTTATTATTTGACCTAGCCAAGTAATATTGGTATCTAACCCCATGTTTGGGGTTACTAACTTGTCTAAATTGCACTGAGATTATTACATACCTATGGAATACATGATTTTGTGATATTACTGTAAGGTTATATATTTGGGGTGAACCATTCTGAAGTCCTTAAAGTAATTGATAAACATGCCCCATTTAAAACTATTCGCGTAAAAGGACGGCATCTTGCATAGACTAGCTCTGACTGGGTTGGGGGTGTGGCAGTCAGAGCTGCACCCAATTTACATAGCACCAGCCCCTCACTGATCCTATGGTGGAGAGTACACTATCGTCTTGATCTTTCAGCGGGGGCTTCAGGCAAAGTTGGGTTAAGTGCCTTGCCCATGGACACAACGACAACAGACATCAATGGGAGTTGGTGGAGAAGGTCTTGTGGTGACCTTCAGGCTCAAAGGCCAATGCTTGGATAACTGAGCCACTACCATAACATACAAAAGGTATGGAATATAAAAGGAAACTGTAACTACATTTTTCAACATGCTTTTCCATATACAATTCAACATATAAAATCTATGGAAATTGTATGTTGATTGACTGTAACATGTGTAATGTATACATTTTAAGATGGTTCTATAAAAACGTATACAATATTAGTACAATATGGTATATGATTGTTATTTCTTTGACTATTGCACGGTAAAAAATTCAATTGTTAAGGGTAAAAATATGTATTCATTACAACTGAAACATTGAACACTCAATTCTTAGTTAATGTTTTTTTTAGCCCTTTTAGACCTACCCCAAAAACAAGTAAATCTAATCAAATTTACACCTACTAAGTTAAACATCATTGTTATAAGACAATCTTGCATATTTTAATCAACAATTCCCACTTCATATCTTCCCAAAATGCATATTCACCTTTGTTTGAAAAAAAAAAAAAAAAGTGACATTCAAATAATAAGTTTGATGTCTCTACATTTAAACTATTGTTTGTGTGAAATATAACATCTGAAAAAAAGCAGAAGTAGCTAATATGTCAGTGAGTAATCTAAGAATGAATTTGTTCCCTCTCATGTGCAATAATTAAAGGATTACAAAATACAGATGAAGGTTATATTTTGTTTCTGTCACCCCATCCATGTCAGTTTTGTATGGAAGCCCGTTTCCGCCATGTAAAAAAAAAAGCCTACAGAAACTCATAATTATGAGTTTAAAACTTTTGAATTTTAAAGTCGTAATTATGAGTTTAAAACTCAAAATTTCGTGTTTAGAACTCAAAATTTCGTGTTTAAAACTCAAAATTACGAGTTTTGAACTCAAAATTACGAGTTTTGAACTCAAAGTTACGAGTTTTGAACTGCGCATGTGCAGTTGCTGCCCGGTATGTGTTGTTGTCTGGAACAGTGTCTGTACATCCTTTACCCGCAGGTTATGTGAAGATATTGCCTACAGACAATGACCACTGCATCCATTAAGTAGCAGCAATAATGTTGTGGCACAATATTAAACCTTTTGGAATTGCGATCAGTGCATTGAGGAGTATGTGACGTGACGTGAGTGTGTGCGTGCACGCGGCCGAAACGTGAGCGCGCTCTGGAGTGAAGTCAATGCACTGATCGCAATTCCAAAAAGTTTAATATTGTCATGGCCCGCGACTGTGGTTCTCCTGCCTCTGTCTGCGGACCTCCCTCACTGTCCTGTAATCGCGAACGGTCTCTCTGTCAGTCACAATAATATTCACTGCATTTCTGGTGCATCCATCGATAGCCACCAGTTGTTGCTCAATGAATGAGAACACTTCAGCGTTCAGCCGCATGTCTTCCACAGTCCGTTCAAGATAAATTAAATAGAGGCTCCTTGAGCAAATTCTAATCATAAACGGAGAGACGTTCGCATTTTAACGCGATTACTGCCCCAACATTATAGCTGCTACTTCATGGATGCAGTGGTCACTGTAGGCCAGGCATGTCAAAGTCAAATACATCAGAGGGCCAAAAAAACAAATTTGCTGCAAGCCGAGGGCCGGACTGGTTCAATGTTTATTAACTCATTGCCTGCCAGCCTATTTCAGAACAGGTACTCCCATATTGCCAGCAGTTTCTGATGATTTTTATAGATTTTTCAAGACCCACAGAATATTGTGTACTATGACTATCTGAAATCCGAAACCAGATTCTGAAAGAATAGACTGTCTACTTTCATCAGCAAGAATAATTTTGATTCTAGCTTGTAATCCCCAGTTGAGTAGAGGGAAGTTTTACTGAAATCACCAAAAAGCTGAGAAAAAAGAGGCACAACAAGTGCATCTAGCTGTTTCCAAACCATTCAGAGAGCGCTGCTGCCACCTGCTGGCTCGATTCAATATGCTCTCAAGCTTATCCCCAAACACATAAGATATAATAGACATCTGCGAACATGAAAATTGCGGAAAACGTAATTGACGTAATAGTGCGTCAATGGCTGGCAACGGGCCATGTAAAATTCATTTGCGGGCCGGATTTGGCCCGCGGGCCTTGACTTTGACACATGTGCTGTAGGCAATATCTTCAACATAACATGCAGGTAAAGGATGTCCCGACACCGTTCCAGACAACAACACATACAGGGCAGCAACTGCACAGGCGCAGTTTAAAACTCGTAATTTCGAGTTTTAAAGTCATAATTTGGACTTTTAAACTCAAAATTTTGACTTTCTGTAGGCATTTTTTTTTTACATGGCGGAAACGGGCTTCCATAGTTTTGTGCTGGTGTAATACTGTAAAAATGTGTTTACAGTGTGCGACCCCACTGGTTCCACATGGACGATAGCTAA